CAGAGTGATTTATTGGCTTGTAATTTACACTGTACTTGAGCCTATGTCTATTGAATGTCGACACACCTGTTGTTAAAAGGGTCCCAGTCCCTATTATATAGGGACCGGTAGCGAGCTGTATGCGATTAGCCCTGTCAATTTAGACGCTGACTATTTCAATTTTTGTCAGGCCAATAATAGCAACGCTCTATCATGAGTTACATTTCAGCCGTTGAATAATACACAAGTACATGTTCTTGTTAATGCTCTGTTTATATCATAGTATATATACTATGGCACTTTACACGTGCATTTCAAACAAGTGGTTATTCTGTTAAATTCTAGATTAATAAATAATTTATGGTGAAGTTGTTTTCGGTGACAAAAAAGAAAATGCAACATACTCTACGTGCGTTTCATCAACTCCTGCTTGATTTGTGCATTGAGTAGGCTTCGTTTCCTCATTAATATTAAACTGGCAGAATTTCTCCGGTTTCATTATCCGCTACCAGTCCCTACATTCAGAGGATGCCTGTAACAGGTCTGGAGACTACATACATGTAGGGGACAGAAACCAGTCTCTAGCCTGTTGCCCCAACAACTGGGGGAGAAGTACTGGTGTGTGTCTAACCCGTATGCATGCATCCGAAAAGTGGACTCAAATTAGGGTTGGTGACTTTGGCGAACTGGATTCTTTGCACTTTCGCCAGAGAAAAGCCATGACTTTCATATGTTTGGAATTTTCTGCAACTGTTTCGCGATGTTTGTACAAATGTCTTGCAACAGTTGCAAGAACTCATGTAAAGACAATGCGACTTATGAGACTGTTTTGCAAGCATCTCGCAACCGTCGCACGAAAAGTATCACATTTTGCAGCCACCGACCAGCTAGTATACCCCCCTTCCCCAAAAAACCCACGGTCATCAGCATCAGTTTGCATCCAGCCTGTGAAGAATGACATGGAGGACCACGGTGTATGGACCTTTAAGCCCAGCGCTGGCTCTGGAGCTGGGTATTCCCTGACCAGTCTAAGGTCTTCCAGGACCAGTCTAAGGTCTTCCAGGACCAGTCCAGGGTTCAAGCCAGGAATGCTTGCTTTTCAGTTTGCGAAAGTTGGTGGCATTTTGTGTATGGTTCGGCATCTAGCTGTCTCTCAACACTGAAGGCATGAACACTATTTTGAGATGAGTCAGGAGGGTGACAATCAGAATTCTCGAGCACCTGTCTACAAACTAGGAGGATGTTTGACAAACCCCACAAATGCTTTGAGACCTCTTGGTAACTTTTTTCAACTAATTTGCAAAGTGCTGGAACTCCAATTTCACCGATTTTCACAAAAGTCACAAAGCTGGCAGAGCAGTGGTGTAAATTTGTGCTGGAAATTGAGGGGGGGATGACTTACCTGCCATAGAAATTTGAAAAGTGGGGAAAGATTGCTGTCACTATTTGAAACACCGGCATACAGGGGGCGATGCTAATGATATGTTGCATGCATTACACTGTACATGCATGGAGAATCTGGCATCAAAATGACACATTTATCGCTTATTTATTTATTATCGCTGAATGTGAAACACTTCCTTTTGATACGTGTTCAACAATTGATTCACAGTTGTCTTTGTACATAGATTTTTTGTATTATGTTTGTTTGCATGGAAGTAGTTCTAAGTTTGTGAAAACACATGTACATGTACAGTATGGTGCATTATTTGCTTCATGGGTCATTCTACATGTACATTGCAAATTTGGGGTACAACTTTTTCCTGTCCTTTTTATGTCTGCTGTGTGATTTTTTAATGTTTAGAGCTCATTCTTAACTTTGCAAGATTGAATACAAGTACTGCAGATTACCTGCTAAACAAGTGAAAATAGTTTGAAGTCAATTTCAGGGATGTATCCTCTGTCAAAGTATACATGTCAGTTGTAACAGGGGCGGAAAAATGTCACACGCTATAGATGCCAAATTTATAGAATGACCCGCATGCATGCACTTTAACTGTCAAATGCTAAATGCATTATTTCCATGTCTGAGGAAGGGAACCCTGCCCTGACATCTTTAACACTACTGTGGAGGTAAACAATTCAGTTTTAGATTGACCCAGAACAATATGCCCTCACAGAGGGCATGCTCTTTTTTATCATTCAGTCACAAAATCTATGATTGCATCGCCGATCAGGAGACAGGGAAAAAATGACTGGCTGTGAAATAAACAGCTGCTGTGTACATGTGGCCAGGTCATTATCAGCTGTTGCCGAGGGCTGAACCTTTTCCTGTACCCTGGAAAAATTGGAGCATGCATAGGGAAGTAATAGGGCTGTGTGAGAGAGGTGCAGTTCATCAAAGGGTACACCATAGAGTTCCACTGTACACTGGTACTCATACATGTACTTCCTATCAGAGAGGATGGGAAAACGTGCAGTTGACAACAAGTTGATAACTCTCTACATGTACATGTACACATAGGCTCAACTCATCAATTGTGGTTGTGACAGTGTGAGTTAAGTCAACTCATTGTCAGGCTAGCTCTCTGGTGGACACAAATGTGTCCGAACTCAGTTGTAACACTTTGGATAAATCAGTGAATGAAGTTGTCCTCTGTCATGCTTGTCCTGGTTGAAAGTGTCAACAAAAGGTCATGTTAATGAGGGAAGATTGCCTTTTGTCACTTTCAAGTTCTGCAATATCTGGTTTAAATGTGTTGATTTGCCACGAGGCAGGCCAGCGCAGTGTTGAAAAGTGTTCCAAGCAGGACAGCTAGTCTGCAACAAGGTGCAACTTACCAAAAAGCAAAGAGTGTTTGTCGTGACAAAATTTCTTGAAAACAAGAGCTTTCAAGCCACCCAAGCTTCATTTACGAATCCTTCCCTGATAGGGATCCACTGGCAAAGTGGACCATCTAGGAATATGTTAATTATACTGATAATTGAAAAATAAATCTCAAAAACTCCTTTTACCATCTCTGTAAAAACAAAGAATGGTGAAAGAAGTCTAGTTGTAAATTCTTGTTTAGAGAAAGATTGTGTATTTTGTTGATTTTTCTGAGACAGACGTGGACGGAAGTTTGTGATGTGGAAAACATTTGAAAGTATTGTCAACCATCCCTTCATACTGCTATGAAAACTGTCTGGCACAAGTGATAACATTCAAGCATAATCTACAATTAAAATAAGACATAATTTTATCAGCATGTGTGTGAACACTACTTGACCATGTTAAATGATGTTGACAGTGTGCCACGCCAAAACATCTCATTACACTTTGAACTCAATTAAATTTGTATCATATTCTTTTTGTGAGATTAAGATAACATGCTGCAGTGAAATTCTATAACTGAGACTTGAAGAGAAATACATTGTAAGACTGGTGAAAAGGTTAAGAATAAGGCAAAGAAAACAAAATAGAAAATTGATAACAAAATATCCCGTGTACACGTATCTGCATTTCTGTTTTCCTTCTCCCAGGATAATAGACATCTCTCTTTCCTTCAATTGTCTCTGCAAACCTTGAAGCAAAATTAGCGCCACTTTCATCTCAGGGTTCATTAGTGTCGCTAGTTTAAAAGAAAAGTGAAGCTCATTTTGAGGTGCAAGACAATCTTGAATCAAGCCCTATTTTGAATCTTAAAAAAATAAGTTATTTCATTCATTATTTTAAATACATCTTGAAAAGAAAAAAATCGAACAAATATTACATCTCTTGAAATACATTTTCAAAATATTACTTGATAAGACTCACTTTTTAAAGAGCCAGGTCAGAATTTTCCCCTTCCAAATTTTTAGTGTTAGTGTCCCAGTGATTTGTGTTCCGTTTTTGCTTTGACAATCCTCTCTGACATTGTCACCAGCAGAAAATACTAAATACTAAAAACTTGTGGGGAAGGGGGCTACTGTTCTCAGGTTATGAACTTTTTGGGAGGCAACAAAACTGTTAATGACAGCAGTGTGTCAAGCGGGGGGGGGGTGTTTAATCAGGATTTGATTTGCTATTACTTCAAAACATTGCCACCATCTCAAGATATTTGGCTCGAGGAATGTGCCTCAAGGACGGAAAAAATTGACACCAGGTTTCAGAAAAATTTCATTTTGCCCCTACGTGTATCTGGGACCCCAAACCTGGTTAGGGTGCTGCCTAATGACTCTGTAGGCCTACACAGAGATGGCGGAGCAAGGTGTGCATTGCTCATTGTATCACAACTATAAGATTCTGTGATCAAGTGAAATGAAATACAGTCATTTCTTTACCACAGCTGTACTCACTGGCATAAGCAATCAATTCAATTGAGTCCATCCTTGTTTACTTCTGATGTAGGTGGGGTAGAATCTGACCTGGTCGCGAGAGACCTGAAAAGGGATCTTCGACTTAGACTCTCAGACTTTCTCCTTTTTGTGTGTTATCAATTCTACAATGTAGCAATTTATTTATTCATTCCAATTGTAGCTGGTTTCAAACTATTTTTGTTTTAAATTTCATGGATTAAAATTTGCTCAGATTTCCACTTTCCCCATACAACCAGTGCAGCCTCCACAGGTGTTAACATGCCCAACCCATGTACCAAAAAATTACCTCATGGCTGCTACACCACGCCCTGTTCGAAGAGTCAGGTACTGTCAGATCTTTGCACTGGCTATAGGATCTTTGGTGACACAAAATACGGGGACTCACAGAGATACAGAGGTACATGTATGTACCTTGGTGGAGACCCCCAATCTGTGATTCATGTGCTTTGGTACCCTGTATCTGATGGATGGCAGAAGGGGGCTTCAGAAGAAGGGATGGGGGAAAAGGGGCCAGTGTCGCACCCTTCCCCCTTCTGCAGGTCCTATAATGGGCTGGGACTTGATTGTCTCGCCATACGGTCCCCCTCTTTGAAAATTGTTCCGCTGGCTGTTGGCTGTCATGTGCTAGTTACATCAGTTCTACGATCTGACCAAAGGACCAACAGCAATTATTCTGTCTCCCCCAGGTGTTTCATTTGCTCTAGCAGTAATGACCCTCTGCTTTTATGCTTTTTTCTCTGCAGGTGCCTACAAACATTGTATGAAAGCATGTCAATGTGGGGCTACCATCCTTCATGATCATCAAACTCAGACTGCACGTATCTGCTCATTCTGGTATACGTTGTACATCAGAAAGTAGGTGACAATCATACATGCATTCTGTGATGGACTTCCATAAGCATTTCTATAATTTCTACAGTATAAAAAAAAAGAAGTTTTTGATCGTCCCTGTCTGACCCACCAAAACGCGCTGGCCACTTTTTATTAGCACATATGGTAAAGATTCAGAGATTGTGGTAACTCAATTCAGAGTACAATATCATAATCCATGTGTATAAACAGACCGTAAACTCCAAAGTGGAACCTATCTGGTATCTTCAAAAGTCTGTGTTCATGTGGAATTGTAGATCTGCATGTAGTGGTGGCTCCGGCCGCGCAGTGTGCGCAAGGGTCACATTAATTAAGATCAGACACCTGATGTTCTATTCAGTCATACTCTGATTACAGGCTGGCCGGTGCCCTACCTCCATGTTATGCCGCATGCTATGGCAATACTGGTACTGTACTCTGGAGGCCATCCAAATCTTTCGCAGGAAGTGACACAGGGCCACCTGTAGTTGTACATGTATGACATTGCATCTACAGGTAGTCATGTTTGCGGCTAAATGTTCATTCATAGAGTGTGCTTGTTGCAGTGACGTCTAGTCTATCTGGAAGGCTAAAAAAACATTCCCAAATTCCAGCCTCGCCTCCACCTCACATTTGCCTCTGACACCCAAATCACCTGTTAAATGAAAATACTTCCGTTTTTTTCACTGAGCTAGAAATTCCAAAGTTAGTGGATTAAAAATAAGGCAAGTTATAGATGAAGCCAGGATATGGCAGTTGGCCGTGCAGCATGTGCATGCAATGTATGCTTCATCCATTAAATTCACATAGCTCTGAACACACGTCAGACTCTGTGCTCAGCCAGAGGGGCAAAAAATACAATACAAAAATTAGAAATAAAACAATGCAAGAAATACAAATATGCATACGGTGATATAATACAAACGAAAATATAAACATGAACAAAAATTATAAACACTTATGACTAATACAAATACAAACAAAACATATAAATACAATAGAGAAATATGAATAAGAAAAATATAAAGAAAAATGACAAATTTAAAAGCAAACAAAATATGTAAATATAAATGGCATTCTAAGTGAATGCAAAATCGAAACTCTGTGTGAAATAAATTTGTACTAAAATGTAACTCTCACGTGCCTTATAATTGCCGGCAGTAAGATAAGAATAGTTGCACTGTATATCAATCCCCAGAAATTTATCAAGTCCCAGAAATACAGGTATATCAAGTCGGAGAAATAAAACTTGCTCCCAGTCCCTCCATCGTCAGGACACTTTAGGAGCATGTACATGTATAGAGGGTGTCTTTAGGGCTACAGACATCGCCATTGGCTGGTGTCGCAAAGACTTCCTCGCCAACCCTTAGCCCTTGGGGTGTACATGTATGGTTTACTTATTCAAGTGAGTTTCTTGCCAGCTCAATAGCATTAAAAGTGTCCCCCCCCACAGTATTATTTTTTGAAAAAGGAGATTATTTGGCCGCAACAGCATATTTTGTTTGTACTTATATTTACCTTGAGTATTAATGTTTTTCATTGGGGTATATTTTTTTCGTTTGTATTATAATTTTGTATGTGAATTTATATTTCTTGTTTGCCCCAATGGCCACCCTTAAGACTCGTTCACTTCAAAGAAGTGAAAAATTATCTCAAAGTAAAAACGATAATTGCCATGGAGCCAAGTTAAAAAGAAAAAACATGAAAATGTCAATATTTTTAGGTGGCATCTAAAACAAACCAATTGTTTCATGTCAGGTTAGGGCTGTCGGAAAAAAAAATTTAAAACCTCCTGCCCGGGAATAAAAGGACGATCAACAATTTATTTTTGTTAAGCAGCCTTAATTACCATATAGGACAGACATACAGGCACTTTTCCATCTTTAACATTTCCATTTCTGACTGCCTGCAACATTTCTACCTAATCAGACATGTACCTGTTCTTCATAAAATAAGGCCATTTAAATTTACTGTCTCTTGCCTTGTCATCTGATGAAGTCATTATCACACGAGGTCAAATTTTGTCTATAAAACTCCCCTTTCTAACTATATATATAACATTTAGACATGAATGCACTTCAGGATATGCATGTCGAGTGCTTTGAGAAAGTACACCTTTAATATCACATGACTTGTCAGCTGATGACGTTATGATTCCATCATGTCAATTTTTGTCCATAACACTTCCCTTTCTAGATATCAGCAAGGCATTAACCTAATATGACATGTACCCAGTGCTTCAGGAGATATACATGTACATGTAGGGCTTTAAAGAGTGCACCTTTGATGTCACGTGACTTGTCATGTGATGACTTCATCATCACATCAGGTCAATTTTGGTCTATAACACTTCCCTTTCTAAATTTCTTAGTATCTGCAAGCTTTGAACCCAACATGACATGTACTTAAGGAGATACAGTGTTTGAAAGAAGACACTTTGTCAATTTTCATCTACACACATCCCTTTCTATCCATCTGCAAGGGCTTCATCCCAATTGCTCATGGACTTCAGAAGATATACGGCCTTGAAGTTTGCACCTTTAATGTCATGTCATGTGACTCCTGATGATGTCATTATGATGATTTTGTTCCCGTACCCTCCCTAGCTTCTGGCTAAGTGTGTGCACCAACCGGTAATATAAACTCTGTCAGATCGATATCAGTGGCAAAGTCTTGTTGTTGAAAAACGTGTACAACACCTATGGTTAAATTTAAACTTTCAAAATTCCATAATTAATAGCCTGTTGTTGTCATCATGACATCATCGATTTTGCGTAACTTGTTTTATCAGGGTCTTTGTTGGCTGTAAAGTTGATGACGATCAAAGATCCCTAAGTTACCAAAATGGTGGCGTGGAAACGTGTGTACACAGTCAAAGGGCTGAAATAAATATTGCAAAATCAGTAATAAATCACTTGATGATGTTAACACTACATGTATGTCATTGTTGAAGATACATTTTTGAACAAGGATCCTTCATTGGTGAAAGTTTAATGAAGATGCAAATTTGCGCAGGCACTAAAGAAACATGCATAAAGCTTTCTGCCTTTTTGGAGAGGAAGAAAAAAATCAGGCCAAAAAGAATGCCTTTTTTGCAAAATTGTGAAAAAGCCAATAAATCCAGTGCTCTTACTGGAAAGTTTCCGATAAGGATCTACAGCTCTAGGACTGGAATGAATCTGAATGAGATGTTGCTGTGTGTTAATATTCCACTACTTCCCGATTACCATGTTTCATATGCCGTGGGGCTGGAAAACCTAACCCCTGGAAGGACTTTAATAAACGAAACCAAGTATAAGAACATGTACCAGCATGACTAGTAGCTGGCTGTCAGTAATTATATTCTTTTCTTTGTGTTTGTTCCCCAGAAGGAAGATCATGGCTGAAGGGGGCGGCTCATCATCCGAGGATCAGACCAAAGCCCTACTGTGTGTGGTCTGCGGCGACCGGGCCAACGGCATGCACTACCGCGCCCTGACCTGCGAGGGTTGCAAGACATTCTTCCGGCGCAACGCCCGCAAGATGGCGGAGCTGAAGTGTGAGATGGGCTCCAACGGGAACTGCGTGATGGACTTGTACATGAGACGGCACTGCGGTGGCTGTCGGATGAAAAAGTGCCTGGAGGTGGGAATGCAGGTGGACAGTGAGTATTTCCTTGCATGATGATTGTCGATATAAAGCAGCTTCCAGCATGTCACCGTGGGGTCAAACACAACATTCTGCATGTACAATCAAGAGTCCACCCCAAGATTGCATCTGATAAAAAAAGGAAAAGAATCGAAAAGAAAGGCACAAGGAGGGATGAAAATCACCTGTTTGCTTAAAAATGTCTTTGAGTTAATCCCCTTTCACAGTTGTTTGTCAGTGCGTGGATGAGTGCCTTCAGTCCCCGGAAAGAGATTAAAATATTGCTACTGCTATGTGAGAGAGAACTTTAATCTTGACCATTAAAAGCACGAGAAAGTCAGAGGATGTTGTGGCCATTGACGTACCCCTCCACTGTTTGTTTGGTAGATTTCTTTTCATCCCTGAACCTCTCTATGGAAACATCAGTCATTTTTTTTAGCTTCCTGATAATCACGATCGTAAGGCGTTTCGTTAATATGGAGCTTACATTAGACTGTCAAGGGCTTAACTGCTGGCAGTGTCATTACCTGCTGCCTGATGGCATTTTCCGGATGAGATGCACTTTTCTGTGCCATCCGTATCTCCAAGTACCCCTCAGCCTTTCTAAGTTAAAAGGCTGGAAATCTGACAGGTACGTGTATGCTTTGATGCTCAACACCTTAATGAACTGAAGGGAGAGCAAACAGAAAACTGATTCAAGGTGAAGAAAGCCTTGATTTGTTGCCCTATATGGAAAAGTACCTGTAGTTGGAGGTACATGCATAAAAGCAACCGTATATGCACATGTACTCTCATCAGGTTTAATCTGTCTTTTAAGGTGTCAGCCCTTCACTGTGTTGCTGTTTCCAGCAAGCTATTGATTTCATCTTTGTCCTTGCATGCATGTAAACACAAGTATCGTGCGCTCATATTTGTAACGATCCGGAAAACTCCGAACTGCTTCATTTAAAATTATTAATGGATTCACTGTTTTGACATGTATAAGTGGAAATAAAAATGAACTGAACTTTAAAACTATTTCGGAATAGTAAATATTCCAAAGGTTGAGATTTTTCCAATTGCAACAAAAAATCAAACAAGATCACATTGATTAAAAGGAACAAATAAACAAGTATGATTTAATGAGAATGTTACACTTAGCATGTAAAAAAATTAGGATAACAAAGAAAATGTGGATTGGAACTACATGTAGTTGGAATGAGAAAGAATGAAGACAGATCAAGATGATCTTACGGGCAAGAGTTTGGCAGACAGACACTACAGTGAAGAATGCTGGACTCCACAGACGGTGAAAAACAGTTCAGTCTTTGACGGTCGCAAATACAGGAACTTGATGATCGCACAAACTGGAACTGGATTCAGTTCACAAACTGTCTCTTACAGAACAAAATTAAGCTCTGCTCTTCACTTGGTCTGGACGAACCTTTCTTACAACTGTCACTCCACAGACGACTCTCCATCTCTCTAACTGTGCGTGTCTCTCTCTCTCTGTCTCCTCTGTTTTTTATAGTCTACAACTGTCCTTGAATTTCTTCTCATTTTGTAAGTTTCGCAAAATAGACTTTTTACCGTTACTTAATCTTACAAGAAGCCTCCAGACCACATGCTAGATCAATGGAAATATTGTCAGCTTACAAGAATTTTCCCAGACATACAAACGGGAATATACATTCATGAGTACTCATTTACTATGGCCTGGGCTTAAACGCGGGTCACACACAGTGCGCATCAACATAACATTTGCAATGGAAATCATTTGCCATGGAAATGTTTCCTTTAAGCATAGAAACTGGGTAGGCTATGGGAGAATTAAATGAGCTACTCGTGCACATGTACATGTATGCACATGTCATCGAACCAAGTAAGCCTCTTCATATCGTAAGTGCATATTTATGTACATGTATAGAGAGGATGTGTGAGGTCTTGCTGTACTGTTTTTGTCAAACCCAACAAGATTTTTATGCGAGTTTCCATGGTGACTTACACACCTGGAGCATTAGGGTCAAATTTAAAGGATACGTATGTACCTGCGTGTACCCTACATGCACCTCTAGGCAACAGTAGTCCACAAACCCCTTTGCCACACCAGATGCTAGCGTTATTTGTACATGAGAGAATATGATACCAAGTGCCCAAAAGCAACAACTAACCACTGCCTTGTTAAAGATGTACAGAAAAATGAAGACAGGCCAGTAGGCTACTCACCTGTACCACAGGTCGGATTTTGTTGAGATTTGGTTTTGTATTAAGAGATTCAATAAACACCATGACTGAGCTACAACATGTCTTTTGGTGCTGTGAATTTGCCAAGTGCGTGCATTCTCGTTAGGTTAAAGATTATGCATTGGTTTATAGTTGCTGAACATATTTCCTGCAGTATTGAAGTCAAGTCAATCACAATCCTATAAGTCTATCACAGGCCCATCATGAGACCACTTCACAAGCTACAGGTATTCGGTTGGACTGGATGTTTACTACTACAGCATTCTTTTGATATCGTTCACCCTGTTACTTACAATTCTTCTGTATGGATGGAATCCTGTGCCAGTAGACTTCAACTCTGGTTGCTTGATTTTCTACTTTGCACTAATTTGGTCATCATCTTCTCAAAACTAGGAGTGTAAATTATTTTACATATTTTTCCTATGAAACAGTTTATAGAATCTGGTTGAAAATGGCATCATGCACATTTTAAATAAGATTCCCTTCCCCTCCCCAATCATACATTTCAGATAAAGAACCATAGTTTTTTTTCTTGTCTGTCAAAGGGCTTTGGGACAAGGAGAGAATCAAGACCAGGAAGCCCATTACTAAGAAAGCCAAACCTGTAGGACAGAGCCCTAACAAGGAGGACAGCCCAAGGACTGTAGAACCATCATCCTGTGCACCGAGTACCAGTGATTCCACTTCAGTAAGCGTCCCTGCACCTGCTTGTACCTCAGTGTCAGAAGCGTCTCAAGCATTGGACCAGGAGGTCATCAATCAGCATCTGGAGCTAGCCGCGAGGGTAAAAGAAGCATTCAAGCAGGCTGAGGAGTATGTACAGGGACAAAAGGTAATGAACTTGATTGTATTTTACATGTACAGTGGAATGCCGGGGTCCACGCTAAAAGCGGTCATTCGGTATAGTGAATTTAACTGCCGAACATTTCGTTGCCATGTTGAATAGTGCCCTCTCTTGTCTAACCGATGTGCACCCTGTTGTGATACCTTGGTTCGCTGTTGACGTGATGTTTTGCAGTTGCATTCAAGTTTAAGATTTCCAGAAATGTACCTGTTAATTATTTTTGTTTTTATTCAAACTTGAGTCCAAAAATTGATATCAAATTTATTCTAAAAGTTTGTGTATATCAGCCACGCCGTCTTTAGACTATTGTTGTGCAATGCTACCATGTGCGTACGTGCGTTTTTTTTCGTCCACACCCGATTTTGTGGAGTCGCAAAACCAGTGTCTATTCAATACCGTTAACAACCAGTGGCTTTCCCTTCTAATCCATGGAGAAATAATGGCGACTTGTCACTTTTCAACATAAAAAAGCGCCGACTGTTTTATCATATTGACGCTTGGGAATTACAAACGGCAATTGAATAGTGTTCGGTAAGTTCTGTGCACGATTTATTGGGATCCAATGACGATGTTCGGTACAGCCGACTGTTCGGTATAGCAGTGTTCAGTATAGCGGTATTCCACTGTACTGGAAGCCCAGGGCTTGTTAAACCCTCTCTGTGATGCTGGAGTATTTCAACCAGGCCTGCTGCCTCGTAAAAAGAGCCGAGATTTTGTTGCGTAATATTCTTTTGTTCACTAACCTGGCTCAGTGCGCTGCTGACCTCTTTTCAATTGGGGCCAGATGAGCATGCAGTGGTGCTGTGTGGCTCATCGCTGCGGTGGTGGAGCACTTTTGTCCCCGGTGGTAATCCGCTTGCTCTAAATGCCCCAAACCATGGTATACTGTTTCAAGACAGGGCTTGATTACATGTATCTCCTCTTTTGAGGGTGAAAAAATGTCGGTAATGCCCAGCAGCCTGGTCTTTTGTTAGGAGTACGGTCTTTTGTTGCAGGGCCCTGTCTCCTTTGTCTTAGTTCAGAGACCCTGGCCAAGCATATAAAGCATACGTGTCCGGATCCTGAATCCCCAACAGAAAGTAGTTAAACCAATTTTATTATAAGTTCAATTAAAGTTTTCTTTGCATTACCAAGTTTTGTAGTTTAAAAAAAATTGGAACTACATATACCCATAAAAAAAGTGATCTGTTTTGCATTTTCTCGATAGGAGCCTGTACCGGAAAAGGTGAAAGAGACCGTTTCAGCCTCTTTAAGCAAGTCAACTTCAGGCACAGAGAAGGTGGAGGATAGGAAGCAACAGCAGGGTGGGCCAGGACCTATGGGTGACGCCAAGTCAAAAACCAAGGGAAGTCCTGAAAAGAGAAAGGACGGTGGGAAATCTGTCAGCAAATCTGGTGCGGGTCATAAAAAGGTAACAGTAACTCCACGCGAGGGGACAGACGTTCCTCAAACTGAGATGCCGCCGTGTTCCTCTCTCGGTGTAAGTCTAGAAGAGACAGGGTCCAGTGGGAACTCTCTGAAACAAGCTCAGAGCAAAAAAAGTCAGGTTCTTGGTGAGACGACACCTGTTCATTCAACAGACAGACATGCCAATTGCCCAGAGTGCTCTTTTACAGGTGATCTGCCACCCTTGATGGATCCTATAACTGGATATGCTGACCTAGAGAGTTCACGTGAGCCCCATCAGTCCGCACAGCCATTCAGCTGTGGTCTCAGCACTCAGTTAGTGGACAGCGCAGCAGTATGCACATGCCAGGCAGAGGTTGCCAAGGAAAGTGCAGTGGAAGAGGAAGTGGCTTGTCTAAACCTAGCTAAATCAGGCTTTGGCGTCAGTGGGGGCCTCAGGCTCGATCACCCGCAGCCTGTCGCTACCGATTGGACTCAGCACCCACGTTCTCCTGAGTTGCCAGAAAATCTGGAAGCATGCCCTGACCTGTGGAGTTTCCCATATACCCAAGATGGCCAAGACCTGGACCAGAGTTTGTTGACTTCAGCTGATGATCCGGGAACGAGCACCGGACTGAAAGAAGGTCAGGGGTTGAGATTTGGGAGCTGCGGCGGCAGTAGTGCAGCAGAAGATAAAACCGTAGATGAGCAGGAAAGCGGAGGGGACACAGTGTCATTTGACGATGTTATTTTCAAGCACATTATGGAACTGATGGTGATGGTGTTAAAGAATATGACAGTGTTTGCCAAGTGCCTGCCGGCATTCAAGTCTCTTACATGGGAGGATCAAGCGGCTGTTGTGAAAGGTAGAAATTGAGATCATCATTCTTGTAGAGAAGTCCATCAGAGGCTTTATACATGTACATGAAGCAATCTAGGCAAACTTGAAGCAGTCCTCAGATAATGGCGCAAAGATTTCTAAGACAGAGTATCAAAGTGTAGTAGGACTTTTTTCAACTAGTATGTTTGAATCTACATGTAGATAGTGGTGTGGGAACGAGTTGACGACGATGTCTGTTGTCGTCGACAGGTGCCTCTAGTTTAAAACTAACCCATAAAATGGTTATTCCCATTTGTAACATACTTTTTGGGGGAAAAAGTAAACTAATGTGCAATATCCTTATAATCCAAAGATTTTCTTCATCAGTTTTAAGTCATAGTTTGTGGAACACCCCTTTATGGTATATGTACATGTACGCGCCTTGCTCGCACAGAGCAAATACCTCCTGAAATGGTAATTGCCACATGCAGGTGGAGAGTGAAATGTGGACCCAATGAAGTACAGACTGGTAATTGATTTCTATGGCCGTGCCTGTGAGACATTGATTGGCGTTGTAGGGGTTGGAATTTTGCACGAAACCAGAAATTTTTTAAAATCAGTTGGTGCATGTAGTTTTACATGCGTAAGCCACTGAGAAACCAACGAATTAGACTGGATTACTTGCAAGAGTTTTTATTCATTTTCCTTCTATTATTTGATACGGGAAATCAAACTCGTCTGACAAACGGCTCACGCATCACTCTCATTTGAGTTCTTCTCTGATACCTCCTCTGAAATACAAATCTCAGGGAAGCTTCACTTTTTCCTATCTGTTTGAAGGTGCCTACCTGGAGTTCCTTATCTTAACTTCGTCATCTCTGTATAACCCCAAGACAAAAGCCTTTGTCAGCATCCTCATCCCAGGACAGGAGTACACCAAGGATGTAGGGATCATGGGAGGCTTGAAGAAGTTGTCTGAAAGCATCACCATGTTTGCCGAGAAGATGATCAAGTTGGAGCTGACAGATGAGGAGAAGGCTCTGCTCTTTGCCATCTGTATCATGACTCCCGGTAGGCAAAGCCTGGTTTCCAGGTGGTCCTAGCAAACGCCCATGGCATGCAAGATGCCAAGAGCCAGGCAGTCGCAGAAGAGACGCAACGTGACGTCATTCCACCCAAAAAATTTTTTAACAAAGTAGCGTCCAAAACTCAGAACACTTTTGAATAAAATGCTTTTTTAGGTGGCACTACCACGTCTTGAAGCCAAACTGATACACAGTTAGGGCTGCAAGAAAATAGGCTAAATGAGTGGTACTGAGCGAGAAGGACATTACTGTATGCCCGTCATATCATCGTGCATGTTTGTAGAGACCTTCTCTGGTGACTGTTTAACCTGATCCAACTTTCCCAATTGTTGCCATTGATGACTGCGTTAGTCAATATAAAGTGTTTCCTTATTAGTGCGCATTCATCAGTTACTTTTTGGTATTTTTTATGTCGCTATGGAAACCAGGCTTAATAGTGGTCAGCTAGAAAATCGACTTTTGAAGGCACTTTCTTGTGAGCATGACAAATCTAAAAAAAAAAAGGTGTTAAGAGAGTGTGAAATTGGAAAATTGCTTCGCAGAGATGAGGTTCAGGCATTCCAGTTCAATATGCAAAGTGAG